GTGCGCCCAGGTGGCCAAGAGGGCCAGTAGCATCCTGGCTTGTATCACGAATAGTGTGGCCAGCAGGACTAGGGAAGTCATCCTTCCCCTGTACTCATTGGTGGGGCCGCACCTCAGATACTGGGTTCAGTTTTGGGCCCTTCAGTACAATAAGGACATTGAGGTGCTGGAGCATGTCCAGAGAAGGGCAACAAAGCTGGTGAGGGGTTTGGAGAACAAGTCTAATGAGGAGCGGCTGAGGGAACTAGGGTTGTCAAGCATTGGAACAGGCTGCCCAGGGAAGTGATTGAGTCCCCATCCCTGGACGTATTTAAAAGATGTGTAGATGTGATGCTTAGGGACATGGTTTAGACATGGACTTGGCAGTGCTAGGTTAATGGTTGGACTCAATAATCGGTTAGACTCAATGATCTTAAAGGTCCTTTCCATCCCAAATGATTCTGTGATTCTATAAATGCATTTCTGAGGTACAGTTCTTAAGAAGAAGCTAAGTTGTGAAGCAAATCATAAGCCATATTGCTACATAGGAATTTATTATTCAGATGAAGGAAAAAGGAGGAAGGTTATTTTAAATAAGCAGTTCTTATTGGTACTCATATTATTTAAGCACCTAGAATCTAAGGGAGGAAAAATATTTAGTAAATCACAAGTAGCAAAACTAATCAACACAATTTTACTATAAGAAATTACATCCTGCAGACCTTTGAGACCCACATTGATTCTGAATGCAAAAGAACTATGGGATTAAGTGTATTTGTAAAAACAAACTTAAATGGCTCTTTTTATCCTGTGTATCCTTTTCTGAATTACAGCCTTGAATCAGAGCTGGACTCAAAGAGGAAAAAAGGGGGGGTCTAGATTGATTGCATGAAGGGATTGTTTGAACATGTGTATAATTCGGCTCTAGAAAGGCATTGCATTGAGGCCACAAAAGGATTGTTACTGAAAATTTCTGTGTATGAAAATGGACAAGAATTCCCCTTAATCACATTATGGCTCAGCTGTCAGAGTTCCGATGAGCTTATTTCATGTTGAACTTATGTTACTTCGTGTTGCAAACCATGATATTTCCTTTTTGAACTTTCATATCAAATGCTGTGTTTGTTTATTTAAGCACAACTCAAAGTCAATATTAATTTGAAAATTGTATGTTTTTATTGATATTTACTGACAGTCCCAAGCACTTGAAAATGGAAACCTTGTTCTTTAACTCAAAGTTGTAAATGGATATATCAGTGAATATATTCTCATGCACAAGTTTTTAAAAATCATTCTTACTAATGTCTGAAATAAAATTTAAAAACAAACCAAAAAAGAATAGATCAGGTTCTAATGTTGTATTTTAAACCTATTTGAATTTTCTAATGTCCTTCAATTTTTCATAGCTTCTAAAGGTATGATTTTATATGTATTTTAATCTTGCTGAATATATCTGCCTAATATAATAATAATTAAATTAAATTAAACCTGATTTTAAAAAAAAGTCTTTAAAGATATGGTGGGGAATAGTTGTAATTTCTGGCTTTCTTGAAGGTCTAGGACTATATTATAAGAAACCCATTTCTACCTGTCATGTCTTCGTTCATTGTCCCACTTCCCTTTTACCTTAGTCTTGCTGGCCTGTTCTTGTGAGATGCCCTATTTATGAGACACTTCAATTCTCTACATTTTTTCCTTTCTACAGTCAGCCCTCCACGTAGAGGCAGAAGCACTCCATGCTAGCCACTGGCTGTCTCTTGCATTCCTATGAACTGTGGACCATTCTTTATTCTGAAAAAGCTCTCATTGCTGCCAGTAGAAGGTTGCTTATGTACATACTGACTGAAGTCAGCAAAGTTTTTTGTTCTGCGTAAAGTGTGTTACAGAATTTATCTGGCCCTATAGAAAATATTCTTGTCCATCCACGTTAAGATTTCAGCATACTCTCATCTAATCAGAAGGCGTTACTCAGAACATACTCTAGAAGTGGGGAATAACCTCCATTTCTACTGAAACTGTATCTTTCTGTATCATGAGCAATACAGATGTAGTTTCAGACTCTGTAAGTGTTCAAGTCTGGCTTGACAGAGAAATTTGGGAGTTCACAAAGAAATTTAGGTCTTTAAGTCCAACTGAAACACCTCCTGAGTGTCAGGACCTAGTACTCCTTTCTTACACAGAGAAAAATAGGCACACTGCAACAGACCAAAAATATCTTAGAGGAGATGAAGTATTTCTATGATTGCATTTACAAGATGTAGCTGGTTGGGTGAAGGAGAGCATGGATTAGTGTGTCGAGAAAAGGTCTAATGGATAAGCAGAATGCCTTGCTAACTGATCCTAGAAAAGAAATTGTTTTTGTAGTGCGCTTGACTCAATTACTTCTGTTGCTGTTCTCCCCAAACCAGCAGGTCCACTTCCCTGTCCTGTGAGCGTAAACTTCCCTTAGGCTTACAAGAGCAGGAGAACATGCAGGAAAGGGACCTATCCTTTAGATTAAGAAACTGGGAAAACAGCTGACCTGCGTGACCCCAGCTTACATTAGTCATCAGCTTACTATTAATAAACAGATCAAAAATCATTGCTTTGTTAAGATTTCTGTCTCTTTAGCTTTAGGAGGCGTTTTTGTTGTTGTTGTTTATATTACCTCAGCAGCTCTTTATTAATTATTTTTCTTAGATCCTGCACTGAACATGATTCAAGTTTTATGTTTATGAATCTGTGTTCATAGAAGTACAGAACTGACTATTGGTACTTTTGTTGGTGCTTATATGAATTATGAGAACTGTGAATGTACTTAAAGGTAACTTAATGTCTGTGAGTGACTCCAAGCCACCACAGTACATTGTTTAATATTATTTGATGAATGACCTGAGTGTGTTTCCAATCTTTTATCTTTTTCTTCTGGTTTATCTGAGTAACCAAATGTACATGGCAGGCATCTGAGGTGGGACAGAGAAACTGGTACATCAGTGTGTGTCAGCTAGTGCTTGATTAGATCTTTCTACAGTGGGGAATAACAGTTTTCCACAATGTTACATGGAAGGAAAAAAGTAGATGACTTTTCTGGAAGGTGATAAGGAATCAGGACAGTGAAGCTCTTAAATGGTTTTGCTTTGTTTTGCCTATTGCCCCAAATAAGCAGCAAGGCTCCTAAATGTTCCTCATTATAGTTGGAGATAGTAACCCAAATCCAAATTGCTGTTTTCCTTTCAGCTGGACTTAAAGAGATACAGATAATGATTTTTACAAATACCCCATAAGATTAGGACCATGCTTTATTAGATGTGAATCCTTGTGGGACTGTAGCCCATGTGTCGCTATAGTGGCTCTCACTTGTTCCAGAAAGCCAGCAGTACCAAGGTGATGCTGGAGAGGATAGCTGTGGTCAGCAGGCACCTCGTAGAGATTGGCACCCTTTCCGACCAACAGCTACACAGTAAGGATTACCAAGCACGTGAGGCTTACCAGTCGTATTGCTTGCAGTATGAAAGTGCCTGCTGTTGACTGGGTGGAGCATCTTGCCAGCTGTTAAGTCATATATATATTTTCTTTTTTCCTTGATGTGTCTTTTCATTAAAAAAAGATTCCAGCATCTGTTTCAGAAAGTCAAATAGATATGAAGCCACATTAGGTTATTTATATGTGGGATTTTAGAAGCAGTACTGCAAATTGCACAGAGCAGTTGCTGCCTCTTGGACTGCCATTTATTCAAAACATGTATTAGAGCACTGCTGATCTACTGAACTTCTGTTTATGGTAGCATTACTTCAGTAAGCTGGGGGCTTACTCTAGTTCTCTACAATATTACAATGAAGTTTGTAAAAGGTGCACTCTTTTTGTGCCTGTCTGACTGAAGAGTTTTTATAAAAACAATACATGAAGCAAAAACTAGAATGAGTCAGGAAGTGACTGTAGCTGAAGAAAATGAAAAAGCAGAATGATGGCACTTGTTTAATGTCACTCCTAACGCTGTCCAGCTCGGCTTCTCCTTTCCACTAGAGGTTGGTCCAAGCCATGTACAATTTTTTCAGTAGCCAGGGGATTTGGACAAAGGCTTTATATGAATCCTATTCCTTTCTGTACTGCGGGAGTGTTAAGGGCTTTCCTCCAAAACACACTTTACTGGATAATTCTATCATCCATCAGCATGGAACAATGGAACGGCATTTGCCAGAATTTACATCTCAGGTAATTATTTCTGCTTTCATTTAAATTAGTTTCTAAGCTTCTGTTTCTTCTGGCAACAGGCCTAAGTCTTTGGTAACTGGACACAAGTATTTGCATATCATTAATTAACAGCTCTTCCCCTTTATAAACTTCACTTCCTTTTTTTTCCCCCTATCTTCCCACTCAGGGTTCTTTAAACTCATTCTGTTACAGCCTTTCAGTTGCATATCATTAATTAACAGCTCTTCCCCTTTTTAAACTTCACTTCCTTTTTTTCCCCCCCTATCTTCCCACTCAGGGTTATTTAAACTCATTCTGTTACATCCTTTCAGCATCAATTTCTTATAATTCCTTCCATTCTTTTTTTCTGTTTTCTGGGTTTCTAGTCGTAACACGTCTTTACTACTGCAAGAAGGTTTATCAAAATACTACTAACTGTGTGTGCGACTGATACGTTGTGCTGTGTGCTGGTGTAATCAGATCTAGAGTCTGATCAAAATGTTTTAACTCATGTCATTGAGTTCACTCAAGTTCTCATGTCCCAGGCAAATTACACTTGCATTCTAACTGATCTGGATAAACAAATGCTCTGAGGAGAGAGAATCTGAGATATCTTTTTCTTAGGATTTAACTACTTTGACCTTCCAGAACCTCAGGGAATTGTATAACTATTCTCCACCTTACTAAAGATCTCTTACTAAATCTCTCTCTTTTCAAATATATATGTGCACACATGCACACTTATTTATTTATAGCTAAATAAGGTCATAAAAAACCCCAAAAATCTAGGATGTTTTAACTATTTCATTGACTTTTCAGATTGTTTTTAAGCTGTTTTTTAAACTTTAAAGGCAACACTGATAGTGAACGGTTCCAAATGGTAAAACAGAAAATCCCCTTCAAATATAACCGACCTGTAGAGGAGTGGCTGCAGGAAAAAGGTAACAGTCATTAAAACTTTCATTTTAAACCCATTTGATTCTAAACCCTCATTTTTAAAGCCTGCAAATAAATGTTTCTTAAATTATAATCGCCTGCTGCATAAATGACTGTTTTAATTTTCATTATAATTTGTGTCAGCTTCCACCTGCCATATGTTGATAAATCATGCTATAATACATTGCTATTAAAATGCAGTTAAAGGGACGAAATTCTAAGCTTGCTATCATAGTAATGACAAACAAACAAGCAAAAATTCAGGAGAATGTTTACTTAAAAAAAAACCCAAAACGAAGAAGAGCAAAGAGCAACAACATGTATTATGGCAATTTAACCACTGCATGATTTTCCCATTTTGATTTGTTTTTAAACTACATTTATATCTTTATTATCTAAGTTTTCTTAAAAAATTTTCAAACCTACTTGTTAAACTACTTCCTGTAAGTTTCTTTTTTCTCTTTAGTTGATTGGCCACTATGGCTGGGTGTTTCCTAATTGTATTAAGATGATTAAACAATTTTAAAAAATGTTGTAAAGAAAACATTTTTTAACATTTTCATTTAAACTACAGTGAGGGAGACAGAGAAAGATGATTGTTCTGTCGCTTTTATGCTATATCTGGAGTACAATTTGAACACTCAAATGATACATCTGTCTAAGTTATGGGTCAAATTCTTCCCTAACTTAATGTCAGGCAGCGCTACTTAATTTTGTGGGTTTGCCTGGAGTAATTGGCCTCAGTTCAGCAAATCAATTGTTAAAATGCATAAGTCCTGCTGGCTTGAGTGGGAGTTCTGCATACGCTCAGTGACCTGTTGAAATAGGACTTGTGTCAGAACAGTAATGTTCTTTTATCAGGAGTTTGGAGGGAGGAAAAAAAATCTTGGATGTAGACCCCATTCCAAAGCACGTTGAAGATTACAGAATAACTTTTACTGATTTCAGCAGGGTTTGGACTGGGTTCTTGGTAATACAGCCTTGGAGCATAAGTCAGGAAGATCTTCTCCCTCTATACTACATGTGGTATTTTAAAAAAAAAAAAAAAAAAAATCACTGTAACTAACTCCTTGCCTTGAAATCTAGAAAAAGCAGAACACAATCTTTTCTTGTTTCCTTTTAAGAAGTTACTGCTTATAAAATGGGGTGACCTTTGAACTCAGATCTTGCATTTTCTGTGCTGACTTAGACTATGGTTGTTAACAAATTTTCCCAGAGTGAAAACCAATCTTTTTACATGATAGGAAAAATACAATTTATGTTCTGTTTCAAACTTATATCCTCAGCTGAATTAACAAATTGATTTAGCCAGCATGAATTAAGTTAAAGTCACGAAGGATGTGGTTAACTACAGTAAAAATATTTTTATGTGAAGGGTCTGATCCTGCAAAGTGTTGTGCACACTCAGTTCCCATTGACTTCCATGAGAGCTGACAATGTTGCCCACTTTTCAGGTTTGGTCTACAACAGTGTAATGTTTGTAACTTAAGCTGAAGTATTTGTGAAAGTGAGACAAAAATATCGGCGTACCTAAAACAGAATATTTTTTTGACCACCAGGGTTTTGTGGAACAGTTAATTCAGCTAAATTGTAAATAAATTTTAAGATAAATATATACAGAAAATGCTTATTGAGTCTCATGGTGTTGCCTTGTAAATTTACAAGATCAAACTAAAATAAAAAAAATAAAGCTTAACACTAAAAAGAGGATAATTTTGGTAAGTCTGAATTGCTAAAGTCCCTTTAACACTAAAGACAATGATTGCCTCAGTTTTGTTAAAACAGATGCATGTCTAATTCCTTGATGCAATTCATGTGCTTGAGAAATCCACCTTTCTTTTATTTTTGTGTTTTTGTTTTGGGTGGGGTTTTTTTTCCTTTTTGGTTTTCCACCAAATTTTTATTTTATGTCACTGCTTCTCCAAGTTTGAGCTTATAAGCATGCCAAGGCACTTTCATTTGTAAGCCATCCTGAAGTTTTGAACTGAAGTCTACCTTTTGTGGATATTGATGCTTTGTTAAAAGACAATCACACATGCAATAAGGTGTAAAAGAGACAATATTTGAGTGTTCAGACACTCTCAAAGCACTGGATGTGTTAGGCTAGAAGGGTAGAGCCATGTTTTTACTTAAAGTGAAAGGAAATTCAGTCTTCACACTTTGTGTTAGGGATTGACATTGTGCAGTGTAACACCTGAGACAGTATAGCTTTGTTCCTTCTTTCCAAAGTAGATAGACGTTTCAGCAACTTAGGTACCACTCAAATTGAAAAATAATAAGAATGAATAATTTACGTGGCTGCTCACCAACCTGCTCATCCATCTGGTCATCCATCCAACAATTAATGTAACATGGAAACTTTCTGTCAGAAGACTTTATAAAGTTGATGAGTGAAAAGGTAGCTTGCATTCAAAATAGAGCAAGATGAACTGATGGATAGAGGAATAGATAGATTCATCAAAGAGACAGCATATGGAATAACAGTCTTGCCCATATGAGTTCTTGGCTTGAGTAAGGTAAGATGAAACACTTTTCATCTGACATTTTTGAATGCCATAGATTTGGTCTTCCTTTGGTACCACTGTTACACTATTCATAATAATGAAATAGTTCATTCTTGGAAAAAAAATATAACACAACGTCTCTCTGAAGTGGCATCATTACTGGGTTTTGGGTTTTTTAAAATTTTATAAATTGGTTTAAAATATTCTTAGGAGGAGCCCAGGTTTACAATCTTGAATTATATGAGTAATAAGCAAAGCATTAAATACTATTAAATTCATTGAGATTATGTATGTGAGTAAAAAAAGAAGTATTAGTTCTATATTGTTAAACTTCAGTAGTCATAAACCCAGCAGATTTCCTCAGCAGAATACGTGGTGTCTGCTAAGGCACAGATGTTACCTATTCTGCAATTGGATGAGCTAATAAAGACCCAGAAGCATCTCATCAAAAGGACTGATCCTGGAAGTCCTTAATTCTTCAAATCTCTCTTACTTACATGTGAAGTCTCATTGATGTGAGTGACTGTCCTTTTGAAGGAAGAACTGTTAATGTGAATTAGGATTTGCAAAATCAGGCCCAAAATCTCTCCTAGTGTTATGAAAAAGTTACGCTTCACTAAGATTTCTCTGTGATATTTCGATTGGTATTCAGTTTTCCAAATGAAAAAGTCAATGAGAGAGCAAACAAAGATACGAGAGCTTGAACTATTCAGAATATTTACAAAACACCTCAGTAACTTAAAATATGCTCATCATTTTTCTCCAGTATGACACTAAAATAGCAGTAGGGCGAGTTCTCTGTGGAAAAGAAGGACTGTAAGTCTGCAATCCTTACACATCTAGTAGAATTTAGTAATATAAACAGTTCCTCAATAAAATTCAGTGGCCAAATAAATTTTACTTAGGGGAAGTAAGGTCTTCAGAACCATATCATGAAAAGAATGAATAGAAGAGACTGATGGTGGCAGAATTAAGTGTATATTCTCTCAACAATTTTCTCATTCCATATGCATTTCCCTGTTGTCTTTATTCACGCGCGTGTACACCATTGTAGGATGAAGAATGAGGAATGACAGGTTGTAGGTGACTCCAACAAGTGATTGTTCTTTTAGCAAACACAGTTCTAGTACCAGTGCTGTCTTCAGCATTAACATGGTGCAGAGCATGAATCCAGGACTGGAAGACTGCTTAACAAACAAGAAACACCCCAAAACACAATCAGAGTTCCTTTTTCACTGGAGTGGGACCACCTCCTTAGTGTACACTTTCTTTCAGCATTAGAAGATGCAGATGAAGGCCTAGAAATGGAGACTTGATCTTTTTCTCAGCCTTAATATACTAACTCCTCATTCCTGAAAGTAAAGCAAGAGATATGGCAGACATGTCTAAAGCTGTGCTATGAGCTTGGGTTAGAATAGATGATGTCCTGAGGAGAGTTGTAATCCTTCAGTAAAATGAGGGCACCCCTTTTCTGTCCTGGCTTGGGGAGCTCTCCTAGCTGGAACAGCAAAAATTCTTCTCCTTCATTATTTGCTATCACTTTTCCCTTTGGTAAATGATGAAGAAAGATACTGTATTGATTCAAGGGGGAAAAAGGAATGGAAATGGAAATAGAAAGCTTTAAATGGTCAATACCTTCTCTCCATTTTCAGGGATACCATCTCAAGATTAGTGAAATAACTCCCTGTTCTTTACTCATATCACCTCTACCTTTTGGCACTCTGTCATGACTGAGGTGGGAAGGAGCAAGTGAAATGTCTGGGTATGTAGCAGCAGGGACAGTACAGAAAGAAATACAGTGCTAGAGGGAGGGAATTTGTGAGGAGAAGGGAAGATGGTGCAGTAAAGGATTATGGCAGAGCCATTAAAAAAATCCAAAGCACAACAGTACAGAGAAGAAAAGCAAACCTTGAGGACACGTTATATGCCAAGAATTTGGCCTTCTACAGCATACAGTGCTGTTTCTTCTGGCTCAGACAGGAGCTGGGCTGAGAGGGCTGAATATATTGACAGGTATTGTTACCAGATCCTATTTTCCTCACAGACAAGAGGAAAGGCTCTGGTTTTTACGTGCTGAGGATGTGTGGCTTCAGTGCATGTTTGTTGATGTTTTAATAGACATAAGTTGCCTCTGGTAAGTTTAAAACCTCCTGAGATGCAGAATATCGCATCTGGTGTTTCAACACTTTCCAGGGGAAGGATACCCTCCATTTTTATTTCTCATTTCTTCATCAATGCAGCTACTCCACCCTGATCAAGTCCTAGTGTTTCATTTACAAACCTGTGGGTGAGGAGCACAAGGGATGTGCAGCCCACCTCCACATGTCCGTATGTTACACCTCTCCATACACTTTTGCTTAGTTAGCTAGGGCCCTCTTTGGGGACAGGAACTCCTTTCAGATACATTTCTTCTCTTGTCCCCGTTCTCTTCCCCATGGTCCATCCTGTCACCATAAGATGATGCAACACCGCATCACCACTTGACTTCAAGACCCGTCACGACGACCACCAAAATTGGTGAGCTGCCCCTCATATTTTGATCTACTCTAACCACTGGCTGTGAAGGAATGAGCAGTGGGTTATAGGCTTGCTTTGCTACGTGGTGGCATTTTGCACCTCTCATCAGGGTGGACTAGAGAGAGGGAGTGGTGAGTGAGAACTGGGGAGTGGGAATGGGATGGGGACATGTGTTGCAAACTTCATAAAAATGGGAAAACACAGTAAATATTTGAATGATGATTGACTTGATGTTGCATTGATAACCCTTCTGAGCTCTTCCCAGTCTGGTTGTCTGTTAATTCAACAGATTCCAGGTGGCATGCCCCTAATCTTCTGAGGGACAGTGAAATTATAGGCACTGCCTTTGCACTGCATGAAGCAATTTATATCTTAATATAGTCAACCTAGAGCAGCCTGGGACATAAGCGGTATTTATAGGACAGTCCAGGCTGAATGTGATTTAAGTGTCCTGCAAAACTAGGTGAATTGGCAATTGTTACTAGATTTATTTTAAATAAATTTATTTTTCATTACGTGCGATATTAGACCACCCCTAACACTCAAGGTGTGACCTTGAGTAAACCTCTTAACCTGCCTACATTTGAATTTCATTGTCTGTAAGAGGGGAGTCACATGTAAGGCATTCTGGGGCTTAACCACCTGAAGCACTATGTTATCCTTGCTATTTCAAAAACTTTGCTCTTTCAGAGACATCACAAATGTTTGCATTTGGTGTTTCTTAGTTTCCGATTTGTGAGCCCTCACAACACAAAATTAACAGGTGGGAGATCATGACGTAAGATTCCTACACAATCCTTATATCACCATCAAATTTTTCTGATGTTTTACTGTCCTCAAGCCACCCCTCAAAACGTTTGCATTATTAAAAGTGGGTTTATGAGTTAATCCCATCCTTTGACCCGTCAAAATAAAAGGTATATTTATGGGCTAAAGCTTGACAGGTATTGCAGTCTGAAGTGGTAGTTGAAAAAATAGACACATATTGAAGCCTTATTTGTAGTTTAAAATGCATTCTACTCTAAAAGAGCGGATTCAAATTTCTGAGTCAGTGCTCCTCCAGAGTTTTGATGTGTGAGTGGATGCTGAACTATGAGATTCAGTTTTAGCTGTTCTTGCTTTCAGGCTAATCTTCCTTATTAATGAACTTTAGGCAGTACATTTCCATCCTGTATTTCTCCAGTCATCATAAACACTACCAAGAATGAATCTACTTCTTTGTTGTCCGTCATTTCTGGCCAGGACTCAATGTAAGATGCAAAGTGAAAGAAATGTCTGGCAATAATGTTATTCACCCCCCTTCACTAGGACGACAGTTAACGATCTTCAACACCCAGGCGCAAATAGCCATAGGAGGGAAGGACAGAGGGCGTCTCTTCCAAGGCCAGCTCTCCGGTCTCTATTACAATGGCTTGAAAGTGTTGAACATGGCAGCGGAAAACAACCCCAATATTAAAATAAATGGAAGTGTCCGACTTGTTGGGGAAGTCCCTTCCATCTTGGGAACAACACCCACAACCTCCGTGCCACCAGAAATGTCTACTACAGTCATGGAAACCACAACTACAATGGCCACCACTACAACCCGAAAAAATCGTTCACCACCCAGCATCCAGGTAAGTCAATGAGTCTTCTGCATTTCCTTGGGTTCTTAATTAGTCTTTTGTTTTGCTGCTCACTTGTAATTTCATGGGAGCCATGTTCTCCGAATCATGCTCCATGTAACTATTTTAATAATGTTGCATAGGGTAAATCACCACAAAATATTGTCCTCCTGTGTTGGTGAACAAACAGCTGGATGAATTAGTATGGCACATGTATGTGATAATGGGGACAGATTTTACTTGTGTTCTAGTGCAAGCCCATTTATGTAGGTAAGGATTATGTAAGTAAGATTGCCCCTATGTGAACAAGAACATGATTTTAACTATGTTTCTGCAGTTCCATATGTGGGGAAATGTATTCCTAAGAGCATTACAAAGCTTAACAGGGGGTGGGTGTATGGTTATTTATTATTATGACAATATGTATGGCTGCAACAGTGAAGTTTATAACGGGGAGAAAAGCAATGGAGCATTAATTCCAGGTAGAGCCATTTTTCATTTTCCTTTCATAGCTTTCCTGTAGAAAATTTTAAAGGAATGCTATCAAGATCAGTTTCTTGCAAAATGTAGATGTGCCAACATAGAGTGGTTCCAACATCTTTGGTAACAGTCATTCTTACAGAAGATGAATTTCAGATGTTCTAGTGTAATTGTGCCAAGGTAGTGTTTTCAGTCCTAAAAATGCAGTGGTTTTGGAACTACTGGTGTGGCAGCCAGAATATGGTACTGATTAGAAATAAACACCCTAAGTTGCCTCTCCTTGTCTGTGCAAAGAAAAGAAACATGTAAATAACCTACCTGAGCAGTGAATCAGATTTTGAAAATTATTTATTTCAGTGTTCTACTATCATGTTATCAACTAGGATGAAACATTTGTTTTAAAATCTTTATTTGCCTCCGAACCTCACCATGTAGAAAACTACATAGTTTCACTGACATACCAGCATACACTGGCAAGTGATTATTGATCGATGTGCCTTTATTAAATCTCCAGAGAAAGGTATATTGTTGTCTACTTGGAGAAAAAATTTAGATTATTCCATCTGCTTCCCTGAAACAATTTTTACTGCTTGGGACAGAAGACCTTAATGAAATCAAGGACTTTGAAATCTGTAATCATACAAGTTGCATGCTTGCTTTCTAACTGCTTCAGAAGGTTTAATCAATTATTGGTTGTGCTTGTATATATATGACCATTCTCTTTTATTTTTTATCTAGTCCTGGTCCCTTAGGATAAGAAAACACAAAAATCATCCTCTTAATTGTGTAGGAGGTCAGGCCACACCTGGAGTATTGTGTCCGGTTCTGGGTTCCTCAGTACGAAAGAGAGATGGTGCTACTGGCTGAGGGAGCTGGGACTGTTCAGCCTGGACAGGAGAAGGCTCAGGGTTGTCATCAGTGTGTACAAATACCTGATGGGAGGGTGTAAAGATTGACAGTGGTGCCCAGTGACAGGACCAGAGGCAATGGACACAAACTGAAACACAGGAGTTTCCCTCTAAACATCAGGAAACACTTTTTTGCTGTGAGGGTGACAGCACTGGCACAGGTTGCCCAGAGAGGTTGTGGAGTGTCCATGCTTGTAAATATTCAAAAGCCATATGCACGTCGTGTGGGGCAGCTGGCTATGGTAGACCAGATGACCTCCAGAGGTCCCTTCGAAACACAACCATTCTGTGATTCTGTGAGGTACCTCTGGCTGCAGTGGAATTTACAACTATTAGAGTAATTAATTCCAAGCCAAGGTTTAACATTGCCCTCTTTGGTACTCTGTAAATCCAGTTGGCAGCAGGATTGGGATTGAGTTATTAGTCTCAGACACCCAAAAGGTGATTTATAAAGTCTCAGCTAAATGAGGGGAAATTGCCCCAGGTTTGGTCACTGTTTGTCGTAAACTTTGAAAGAATTACAGTTCCTTCTCCTCAGTGGCTAGCTCTAATTTTAGAGGAAATCTTTGTGCACCTACCTCTCCAGAAGAATACAGTCTGTGGTCCTGATCCTGCTCTTCTTAGTTTATTGGAGATTTTCTATGATTTATAAAGGCAGCAGCACTGTGTTTAGCTATAGGAGTGTAATGGAGAGTAGCGCTGCACCTTTGTGGGCTGGGTCAAGCTGGAAATGACCCTGGCTTACTTGAAGAGGAACTCTTCCAGAAAGCTTCCTGCCTAACCTACGTGGCAGTTCACTCAGCCTGTAGAGACCACTATGTGCTGATAGAGCATCAAGAAGATTTAATAAAGTGTCAAAGTGCTTCTAAAAACATGGTTAGAGCAGTGATTTCCTGGATACACATGCACCACAACAAACGGCCTCATCTTGGCTTATATTAAAGCAATAACTCTTTGACACTTCATGCTACCCACTGAAAGAAAGATAAAGGTCAATATGTACCTCCATTACAACTTTCTGCATTTCAATATCAGGCCATTTTATTGCTGTCGCAGCACAGATGGCTCGCCTTTTTTTTCTTCCTCTTGGTAGAATTTGATTCTGTCAGCTTAAGTTGCATTATTTGTGTGGTGAAAGCCAGAAGAAATTGTCTTTTTCTGTTTGGGCAGTATCTCCAGCTGTGGTTTTCAGATGCCTAATGGTTATTTTATCTCGCTTGTGTTCGACATCACCATTGTCAAGCCTCCTTACAATTTTAGATCTAAGTGTTACAAAAATCTAATAGAACAAGTTTGTTCTTTGGGGAATGTAAAATATAGCTACCCAAGGCTATGAACGGTACAAATACAGTTATTACCTTGCTCCAGCTTTCTCTTCTCTTTTCTGCTCAGAAATAAACAATTTTTCTTCACTTTCAAGGCCATTCACAGTTTAGCCCCTTCTCTCCCTGTTCTGATCAGCACGATTCAAGCATATTTTTGCTCACTTCTTAGATTTGATCATAAGAATCTTTCTGCTCTCTGGTACAATCCACAAGACAACAGTGGGTTATTTTTCTAATCCCACTGAAACCCTTCCTTCATCATGATGCATGTCAAAAAGTTGTCAGAGGTTAGGCTGATGGTGGTCTAAGGCAGCTGTTTATCAAGCTGATCGATATTGTCACTTTGTTTTGTTTTTATCCATTTTTATGTATCTATGTGTGATATCTTGTTTTATGCTTAGATTGCAGGCTCCTTGGATTCAGAATGTACTTTTTATTCTGCACATGTACACTACTTAACACACAAGGGTTCTGGACCATTGTAGAAATACCAAGCATAATACAAGTAAAAGTAAAGCATCTAATGCAAAATAGCAGGATTCGGGATAAAGAATTATTCTTCTTACTGTATTAGAAGGATCTGTGCTATTTGTATTACTCTTTTTCATATGTAAGTAACTAAAACTTCTCCTTTTTGAAATGCATATAAAGCTTGTGCAGAATATCAAGTCTGTAATCCCAAAGTGATACAAAATCCAGGGGAATTTCAGTAGGATTTAGATTTACACATCACTTGTTAAAGAAGTACAGAAGAGCATGAGAACGGCAAAGATTTCTTCTGCTTGTAACGTACACCAAGATGCCTCCTGCAGTTAGGTAGCATACGTACTGCCAGGAGTATTTTAGAGCACAGACTAAGACAGCTGGGAAAATGAAATGCTGTAAAAATACACAGTATATGCACAGACCCAATGACATGCTTTTCAGTTTGTGAAGATCCCCAACGTGGCATATAGTCTTGGACAAACAACCAAGACAAAGGGAATTGAGAGAAAAATATTACTGGAAATACCTCGTGACAGTGATATTGGCATTTAAAATGTCCATAACTTCACTTTGTTTTAAGATTTATAATAACGTTTCTGCGAGGTGGTGAAACTCAGATCAGCGTGGACAGGCAGGATTTGAGTGAGAAACAGGTGAGATGTGTGACTGTATGCTGCACTGATAGGAATGTTTCTGTGGTTCAAACATCCTTCAGAGGCCTTGGAGGAAGATAACAAGAGCTGACCTTTTTCTGTTAACTGAAAATAAGGGAGAAAAAGGAGTTTCTGTTCATCTATGTTTCAGTGAGTCGCAAATGGTGCTTGTGCTCTGCTGCCCCTGACTAGAAATGCTGATTTGACTTTCTCACACGTGTTTTTGTTCTGGATTCAAGTACGGTCTGTTCAGAAATGACATGTGTTGTACTAAATTCCTGCTACCGGTCTCAGGGCCCTGACACACCAGACTCTCCTGTGATAATAATATCCTCTCTGGGACTTCTTCTTTGCCATGTTACCCTTGGAAGGCCTCAAAAATAAGCCTTTAGCTTTTGCTGTGCAGGCTGCTACTAGATGAAAGTCACTGTACTGTACCACATCGTATTCTTGCAAGGCTGCAATGTTTCTTGCAGGTTTACTTCATTAGCAATTGTTAAAGGTCCTGGCATCCCACGTGTCCCTGTTTCCTGATTTAAAGCACAGCTTCAATTGTTAGTGAAGTAGTTTGGAGATTTCTGGGTTTGGGAGACTCCTGTGAAAATGAGTTGAAGTGACACTCATTCTCCTGGCTTCTGCTTCCATATCAGCTGCTTATATGCTCAGAATTTATTCAGTGAGTCGCTGCTCAATGCTTTTTAGGAGACTCTCCATATGCTCTCATGTGGCACGTTTTTTCCAGTTCACAGCTAGGTCATTCAGTTTTCAAATGATTTGTGTAAAGATATCTTTAAAGTTAATTACTAAGTAAAGCTAGTCTAGAAAAGCATGTGGGGTGATACATGAGTCTTCCGTTCAAAACATGTTCAGTTCAGCAAATCCGAGATATGATTCCAGCTGCTGCATGGGTCCTTACAGAGAACTCCTCCAGATAAGCTTCTGGAGGCCCTAGGGCTCACTGACCTAGGGCAGGCCCCTAATATGTCTGCCCTATGACATGGATGGCTGGGGTCCCAAGACCAAAATCGCAGACAGTTTTCTGAGAAAAAGAGCTCAGAACCCTTCTGGGAGGACAGATGGACTGCTGGTTATGCTCTCCATGAGGAACCAGAAACTGTGTGCTCTGTTATGTATCCAGTGCATGCTTCAACTTTTTGAGA